GAAAGTTAAAAAACGGTTAATTTAAAAAAGAAATTAGAAGAGAAAAGAAAAAATGTTAGGAGTTGGAAACGCATGGTTGGAAGTAAAAATAAGTTAATTTGAAATTTTAAAAAATTAGTTGAAAGTTAAAATTGGAATAAAAAAACTGCTGGTTGTTAAAAAGTTAAGGTGAAGTTAAAAAAGTGTAATTTGAAGTTAAACCACGTTAGTTGGAAGTTGAAAAAGGTTAATTTGAAATTAAAGAAGGATTGTTTAGAATTGAAAAAGGAATGTTGGAAATTAAACAATTAGACGGTGTAAAAAAAACGATCATTTGGGAATGAAAAAAAAGTATTTTGGGAGTTAAATAAAGTTAATTGGAAGTTTAAAAAAAAGAGGTTATTTAGTAATAAAAAAGTTCAAAAAAGGTTAGTTGGAAATACAAATGTCAGAAAAAATGGTTAATTTGAAGTTCAAAATAGGTACATTGCTAGGAAAAAGCTGTATCATTTTAACACGATGCAAAAATAATAATCTACGATGATATAGATAGAAAATTGCTATTCTATACTTTTTAAAAGGATAGTTCCTACTCACAGTAAGTTGTTTTGCAACGATGCGGATTTCGAGCCTTTTAGCTCATCATCAGGTTGTAGAAGTCCTTCAATCTGATGATGAGCTAAAAGGCTCGAAATCCGCATCGTTGCAACACAACTTACTGTGAGTAGGAACTATCCTTTTAAAAAGTATTGAACACCACACTCACTCCATCATTTATCATTTCTATTAATTGCTATTCTACTCATTTTTTTCTCATACATGCAACTATGATATGTACTACCGATTGATAAAAAATGCCGATAAGAACGTACAGAAATATTAAACATAGGCACGTTAGTAGATGCTTTTTATGGTTAAAAACGTTACTACTATATACAAGCTAATGTCGTTTTCGTTGAAATAAAAGTATCATAAATTGGGTAATAATGCCATTGCAGGAAAAATATTTAGGGATCATTTAGAAAAAAAATTTTAAAAAATCATTATTCGAATATTCCATCTTTGTGTGGTATGTTGTCTAATTTTAAGATTTCGTAATTTTAGTTGAATTCGTAATGTGTAATAAGAAAAAAAGAAATTAATAAAACAGCCTGGTACAAAGGGGTTGAAATGCCGTGCACAGAGCACATTTCAACTTTATGCTCTTTTCCATTCTCGTTCTTATTATATGCCGGACTAAAGGAAAGTTATGATATACCCCTTTTTTTCCCGGGCAGTGCTTTAGAAAATTCAGCGCATCGATTCCATGATAATTTCCTTCATAACTTCACGGCTCTTTCTCCGTTTTTAGAGTTGAGAGGCGAGGATTTTTTCCCCCCGACAATAACAGCGCCAGTATGGACGAGGAGTGAAAGTTTGCCCACACCCTCGACTGTAGTTCCTGTCGTATCGGTTCTCTAGAATTCAAAATACACCGATAGGGTCCTGCAGGGGTAAACAAAGCCGGCTGTTGTACCGTGATCAACCGCAGCCCACCCTCTCAACGCCGAACCACTTTGAACAAAGATAAACCTGTTTTACAAACTTTTTTTTACCAATGGACTGTCCCAGGACGGGTCTTCTTTTGTAAACGCCACTAAAGAAATTTGATTCAAAGGTCGCCGCATAAAAAAAAGGTCAAAGGTATTGTAAAAATGTATGTAACGCTTAAAATGTTTAAACTACTGAGGTATTCGAGTTTTAGGGCGTCCGACTCACATTTGTCACGCTAGGGATTCTAGGTTCAAATCACGGCGAAGCATAAAGAATTTTAATTGAAATATTAAGAAAAAAAAAAGTTATTTATTTAGAAATCGTGAGATGCGGTCTGGTGAGATGTAGGTTTCAGAAAAAACATTTTCTTTATCGTGTCAACGTTTCGATCTTTATTCAGATCATCTTCAGGGCATGGGATTTACAAACATTGTTAACAATTACATTTTGGATGAGAAAAAGTGAATTCATACAATGCAAAATATATTTTTTTTATATATTCAATCAAAGTATTTGTTATATTTTTTATGAAAAAAAAAAATAGTTTGAGCTTTCGCTCACCGAGTAGTTAACCGTTTTGACCATAAGTATGGCCAGAATCACGTGGTATTTTCTAAATTACATATAACAATAATTCACTATTTTTCGTGGTACGCTTGACAAATTAATATCATTCAATTAATTAACGTTTTTAGTTGAGATGAAAAAGTCAATGGCACGAGCGAGATTCGAACCCACGATCTTCGGCTAGATACGCCGCTGCTCTACCACCTCGATCCACTCGGACACCAACTTCCCACCTTTTGAATTTTCCCTCCTTTTTGCGATTTTTGAAATGTCGTGTAATCGGATTTGATTCTCGGCGACAAATAAAATGGCCACGGAGAGCTTTACTGAAGTATACTTAATTTTAATTCATTAAATTCACTAATTTCGTGGTCCGCTTGACCAATTAATATATTACAATTAATTAAGGTTTTTAGTCGAGATAAAAAAGTCAGCGTCACGAGCGGGATTCGAACCCACGACCTTCGGCTTGATGCGCCGGTACTCAACCACTTGAGCTATCGTGACTTCGACCCACACGGACACTAACTTCCCATCCCAGCCTCATCTTTTGAATTTTCCCTCCTTTTTGTCATTTTTCAAATGTCGTGTAATCTATTTGATTCTCGGCGACAAATGAAATGCCCACGGAGAGCTTTAGTGAAGTATACTTCATTTTAATTCATTAAATTCACTATTTTTCGTGGTCCGCTTAACCAGTTAATATCAAGCAATTAATTAAGGTTTTTAGTTGAGATAAAAAGTCAGTGACACGAGTGGGATATTTTAAAACAACTAAAAACCTTAATTAATTATAAAACAATAATGTTGCTACCTAATAAATTATTTTCTTTTTATTTATAGATGGTATAATTAACATAAATATAAATATTCTTTGTTTTGCTGGCTTTAATTGAATTTTAAATATAAGTTTAACATTTAAATTTGTTCATTAAATTATTTGGAATTAGTGTTCAATTATTGATTCCAGTTAAAATTAATAAAGCACTAACTAGGTAAATATAGCCATTGGTCAGGAATAAAGGAAATTAATATTCAGCCAAAAAGCCTATTCATCCATCATAAAAGGAGGTGATGTCGCTATATACCTATACTGAATATCAACAACTTTCACCCTCCGGCTAACACCTCTGTCATCCCCGAAGAATTATGAGAAATAAATGTTTGGCCTGTTTGTTTTCAGACTTAAACACTATGATTTGGAACTGAGTTGAGAAACTGTTTGTGAACTAAAGTGGAGAATATTTACGAGTTATCAAGCGCTTTGAACTGATTGTCAAATGGACGTTTTATTGCAATATATGTATGATATTTACGTAACAAACAACGATATGAATTTCAATTGATTAGCCGTTTTATTTAAGGTCTTGATTGAGATGAAAAAGCTAATGTTACGGGCGGGATTCGAACCCTCGACCTTCGGGTTCGAATCCCGTTCGTGACACTAGCATTTTCATCTAAACCAAGACCTTATATAAAAAGAATAATTAATTGAAATGAGTAATTTGGTTAATTACACCACTAAACATAAATGTAATAATGATATGAATATTATAATTAATTGAGGTTTTTAGTTGAGATAAAAAAGTCAATGGCATGAGCGGGGTTCGAACCCACGATCTTTGCCTAAATAGGCCGCTGCTCTACCACTTGAGCTATCGTGACCTCGATCCACTCGGACACCAACTTCCTATCTCATCCGCACCTTTAGAAAAAAGGCAAAAAGGAGGAAAAATTCAAATCCCCCCCCCCGAATCGTGTCATTGACTTTTTTATCTCAACTAAAAACCTTAATTAATTATAATATATTAAGTGCCGGACCACGAAATTAGTGAATTTAATGATTTGAATGTTTATCTTGTTTAACTTTTTAAACGTAAACATAAAGATTAAAAGGCACACAAATAAAAATATTTTATAACCATGATAGTTGTTTATAACTGACTAAATTTCATTAATTAACTTTTCTTCTTGAATTAAGAAAGACATAACTTACAATAGTTAACATTAGGTAATCAAAGTTTGAAAGTACATTTATATAAATGTTTGTGTTCGAAACTTTCATATGAATGCAAAATAATTTCAAACTTCACCTGTAATTTCAGCAAAAATGTTATATTTCTAAGAGTTTGTTTGAACAAATAAAGAATGGTGGAAAAGTTCAAATAAAACAGAAGACTATGAATCACAAAACACTACCTACTTGGAGAACAAATGGTATTTTTATGTCGTTATTTTGTTTTATAGACAAAAAATGTTTAAAAAATGAGAAGTCTGTGTTTATTGAAGAATGAAAACACTGAGGCAAAGCATATAAATGCTTTGTGGTTAAAGGTTACCGAAATAACAATAATTTCTCTTTTTCCAATAAAGATGATTTTAAATTTCATCTTTCTCAAATAAGTGGTGAAAATAGTTTTGAACGATTTCCAATATCGGACTTTTCCCCGATGAAGATGAAAAGTAATCTTCCAAAGAGTCGAGAGAAAAACTGAAGGGAAAACTCTCGGCAGAATAAAAGGGTTTGTGCGGGTTTTTTTCTCCACCCCCGCATCTGGGAACAACCGCCACCTCAGGCTGGTCGTGTTCCTTAATCTTGTTGCGACCTTTATCTGTTGGGCGCTTGGGTTGGCGCTGGCCCAACAGGAGGCTATCACCGCTGTTTCGTCTCCCGACAAGGAAATGTTCCTCCCAGGGTCTTTTTATTGCGACGATCTCCGCCTCGGAGATACCATGCACGGAATGGACCTCGTTTTAATAAATTCTACCTGATCTGTATTTTACCTGAAGGCGACTCCTGTCATATTTATAACCAATTTACATTCACCTTTTGTAAACCGTGCGGCTTAAATTAAAAACACGCCCGACCAAATATAAATAAGATCGACAACATTTCTACAAGATAGAAGACTATTACTTACTTAATCTCGAAAGTTTGAAAGCGTCGGCAGTGTTGATGACGTCGACGTAAGCTTGCAGCTCGAACCTCCTACTCGTGAGGTTTTGGTTATGTATGAGCATCGCGAATTTGAACGCAGATTGGACTTCATCAGTGCCTTGTTCAAATATAGCACCTGAAACAAACATATAAAAACAAACTTTAAAAAATGTATCTATTATAATGTCCAATTATATATTTCAGCACCTTGCTGATTAAAAATCATATTGATACTACTCAATTGGAATCGTATCGTCAAGTTAATAAAATATGAGAGTGTGTGCGCGGGGTAGATTTTGCTTGCCTTAAAGAAAGAAAATATCCAAAATATAAAATTAATTTAACAAGGCGTTTTAATAGATGATTACACAGTATAAGAAATAGGTCGTACAGTTTTACCACGGAAAAGCTCCTTGAGATTACTCCACGATTTTTTTTTTTCTTTCGTTCAGTCCGTGATCATTTCTCTCTTTCACGTTTTCCCACCTACCACCTCTCTCTCTCTCTCTCTCTCTCTCTCTCTCTCTCTCTATTTTTATAACACTTTTTCTTACATATAAAATATATAAGGTTATTTCTATCTCTCCTCCTATATGCCTAGGTTATACTTATCCATTTATGAATTAATTGATTATTTCAAAGTTTCTTGTCTCTTTTGTTTCTCAAAACTTCCTTTCTCTTAAAATTTCTACTTTTTTTATTTTCTAGGTCTTATACTTACTTAACTGCTTAAAAAATTTCTCCCAATCTTTATATTTTTCTTTCTTTATATTCCTACATGTTTTATCTACTTTTATCTCTATATTTCTATCTGTCAGTTTATCTACCTATCTATCTAATTTTATGCATATTTTTTCACTTTTCTATATCTTGTACTCACTTAATTGCTTAATCAATTTCTTTCAATCTATACATCTTTCCAACTTTGCTTTCCTACATGTTTCTATCTCCCTTTATCTTTATATTTCTATCAACCTATCCCACTTTATGCCTATTCTTTCACTACTCTTTGTGTTTTGCTTTATTTTTCTCTCTTTCTTACTCGCCAATTTGCATGATCAATATTTCTATTTCTATCATACAACAATCATTAATAGTATCTCACTCACTAACTCTCTCACTCTCACCCTCCCTCTCTCTCACCCTCTCTCACTCTCTCTCTCTCTCTCTCTCTTTCTCTCTCTCTCTCTCTCTCTCTCTCTCTCTCTCTCTTTCTGTCTATCACCCATTTTCAGTCTCTCTCTCTCTCTTTCTGTCTATCACCCATTTTCAGTCTCTCTCTCTCTCTCTCTCTCTCTCTCTCTTTCTCTCTCTCTCCCTCTCTCTCTCTCTCCCTCTCACTCTCTCTCTTTTTGTCATTCTCTCTCTATTTCTCCCATTTTCAGTTGTTTCTCTCTCTCTTTCTCTCACTTTTTCTTCATTTTTCAATCTCACTCTCTCTCTTTCTCTCTGTCTCTCTCTCATCAATTTTCTGAACTATCTATGTAATTTTCAACATATTTATCTACTTAACGTTAAAACCTTGTATTTTTCTATCTAAAAATATATCCATCTAGTCATATACTATCTGTCTATTTAATGAAAAGTGTATCTATCCTTCTATTGATCTATCAAACTATGATGATTTCTATCTAATAACGAATAGATCTATATATTTATTTATTTATAGTACATTCATCAAAATTTGAATGTATCCATATATATTTTACTATGAATGTATTTACCTATATATCAGTCGATGGTTATGACTTATTATTCATAAGGAAATTTTTCCAAGACATAAAATTTCACCTTTCTCTGTATTTTTCTTTTGTTTTCCTCTCCCGTACTCGCTAATTAGCATTATCCATTTCTTAAAATTTCTCACTCTCTCTATCCCTCTCTCGATCTTTTCTCTTTCTTTCTGTCGCTCTCGACCCGTTTTTCATATGTTTTTGTCATTCAGGTTGGTGTCCTGTGTAATAATTCTATTTTACTTTATATTAAGTGGTCAAGTTATTTTCTGCGGTCGTGATTTATTGTTTGGCCAATCAATTTTAACTTCATCGACTTGTCTACATAGCATTATTGTTCCGCATCGTGTAGTACTGTTGTATTTTCGTTTCAATGCTGTTTAAATTATTAGTATTATGCCTAGTCAAATAGAAACCGATAAATACCTTCGAACTTTCTGAAATGGTTATTTGTTTCAATATAACATTCGTCGCGCTTCATTACCGAAACAGGGTGATTTCTCGTGTGCAATCGTAATTAGAGAAATAATCGTCTGTATTATTCAAACATTTCATCAACTGGGAGTTGACCGCCAATTTCCATTTTAATAATTGATTTTAAATTAATCAAACAGAGTCAATCGTGTGATTGTTCGAATAATTTATATTTTAGCAAGAGTTTATTTGAAAAACATGTAAAATAAAGTAGACCGAGTTCTGTCTCTTTAAACTTATACCCTGACATAATGGAGTGGTTTATTTAGTTAAACTGGCAGCATGATTGAATCGATGGCACATTTTGTTATGCAATTGATTGCAATATTTAATTCAGTATTATGTTGTCATCTATAAAAATTTATCATCTATTTATTGTATGTATTAATGTGTGATGGTTAGTGACCGTTAATCGCTAATTATTCAGAAATCGTGAGATGCGGTCTGCTGTGATGTAGGTTTCAGAAAAACATTTTCTTTATCATGCGAACGTTTCGATCTTTATTGAGATCATCTTCAGGGCCTGGGATTTACAAACATTGTTTACATTTAATAAATACATATAGAAGGTGGAAAAAAGGTGAATTTATACAATGCAAAATATACTTTTTATATTCACTCAAAGTATTTCTACTCACTCAAAGTGTTTGTCTTCTTTGTAATTGTGCCATTCTTGCGTGTCGTGCTGAGAGTGTTGAGTCTCAAAAAATTCGATTATTAAAATTCGATAACGTGTTTCTAACAAATACTTAGATTAAATTATAAGAAACAACATGAATAATTTGCGCGATTCTTTATTATTTTTTTAAAATTAAATAAATTACATATTCTAGCGCAAAAATGACACTCATGGTGTAATTGTCTACGATTTTTTAACCATCATGAAATCAGAGAATTAATCTTGTAATTAAATAAGGATTGTTAATTTTAATCCCCGTAAGGGTTTATTGTAATCGTATAATTTGTTTTTATGCCGGGTTTATGTCTTTACGACCACTGATATTTTATCAGAATTTACTGTATTTTATTAGAATGAGAATATCATGAAAAACCTGTATTTTAAGGTAAAATAACTTGCCTAACTTGGTATTTCTCTATAAATCTCTCCCCTCCTCTCACACTCTCTCACTCTTTCATTGCAACCCCTCGGTCTATTTTACTTAGCTTCCACCCTTTCTTTACTACATTTCTAACAGTAGATCTATTTAACTTATACTGGTTCCGTTTGTTTCGTCTTTACATATTTATTGTTCAACAATCAAAACATTTGTGTTTTTNTTATTACATCCACCATACTACTGATTCTATTCAATTACTCCAGAATAAGTGTATAATATTAAATTTAATATTCAATGATGGAATACATGACAAATTTAATTCTAAACATATTACAAGTACAAGACAGAAAAACATTTTCTATCACTAACAAATTACTCGAAATATTAGAATGTAAAAAAAAACTATTTACATTCGCGAACATTTAATTGGCTAAAAAATGTATATGAAAGAAATCTAAGGAAAAAAGATAATCAACTTTTTGTACCGCACCACGGAACTGAAAGATATGCTAAATCCTTTATTATAACTTATTATCTTGTACAACCTACCTGTTGATGTAAAATAATTAAAAAAACTATGCAACCTTTAAAAAATTTATAAAAATTAAAATGCTTCAAAAATGTGTTTTCAATTCACATCTATTTTCTATTTCATTCGCACATAATACGTCAAACAACAACATTATTATTTGTTAATCCGCCTTCCTTGCCTCGAAACCCGTATGCGCCCACTTTTGCAGGCTGAGGAGGGCGCATAGTCCGCCGGCTGTTGGTTCAATACGTACGCGAGTTTGATTAATTGTCGGTTCATTGGAAATAAGGTAGAAATATGCCTGAACAGGTTCAAACTTCAACTTGCAAGATTGACTGAAAAGCTTAATTAGTACCCGCCGTGAAGACGTCAATAAATTAGACGAAACGTCCGATTACTTGAAAACTTTCTTTTTTTCTTTCTCTTATTCCATTTCAACTTAACCAAGCTAATTTAATCATAACGGTCATCTATTCATCATTTGAGTTGATAACACAACTCACTCACTCACTCTCTCTTTCTCTCTCTCTCTCTCTCTCTCTCTCTCTCTCTCTCTCTCTCTCTCGCGCTCTCTCTCTCTCACTCTTAAATATCTAAAAATCTATCCAACTAATCGTGAATGTATCTATCAACCTATTTAATGAAAACTGTATATATCCGTATATCGATCTGTCAAACTATGATCGTTTCTTTCTAATAATGAATGGATCTATTTTTCTATTTGCCAGTTTAATTACCTATCGGTATACTCATCTGAATTTGAATGTCACTATATATCTATTCAATTATGAATGTATTTATCTACATATTTAATGAAAAGTGTATCCATCAGTCTATCGATCTGTCAAACTATGATCGTTTCTTTCAAATAATGAATGGATCTATTTTTGTATGTACCAATTTAATTACCTATCGGTTTATTCATCTAAATTTGAATGTAACTATATATCTAATCCATTATGAATGTATTCATCTACCTATTTAATGAAAATTATATCTATCAGTCTATCGATCTGTCAAACTATGATCGTTTCTTTCTAATTATGAATGGATCTATTTTTGTATGTACCAATTTAATTACCTGTCGTTATAATCATCTAAATTTGAATGTATCTACCTATCATCATACATCAATCAGTCGCTGTTGATGTCTTATTGTTGTTAAAGTAATTTTTTTCAAGACATCTAAAATTCTCTCTCTCTCTCTCTTATTTTCTTTGCTCTCTCCCTCTCTCTACTTTCTCTCTCTCGCTCTCTTTCTCTCTCCTCTCTCTTTCAAATACTTTCTCTTGCTTTAGATAAATTTTTATCCATACAATCATAAAAGTTCCTATCTATC